CTCTGGCACACAGCCTCTGGAACTGTCCAGCACTGGGAACGTGCCTTATCCAGGTATGTTTTTCCACATTAGCTATCTTTGGCTAGGTTTAATATACAGAGTAATAAAGTAATATAATAAATTTATGGCCCAATAAAAATGTGAAATTATACATTTACTTCAGGTTTACTATTACTAGGCAGTTAATTGAAATGCTGGGCTGGCACTACTCTGAGAAAATGGTTGTCCCAGCTTTAATTTGGGGGGAGCACACTTTGAAACTTCCTGTAAGGCTTTTCTTCCTCCCACTCAGAGCAGATGCTTGTTGAATGTGCTGTGTGCCTAGTGCTGTCCTTGGGCTTAGGGACACAATGCATAGGGAACTGGCCAGAACCTAGCACCTCCATCTTCTATTGGGAGGTATAGATAGGTCTGGGAAGCAGTCTGAGAGTCACCCTGTGATTTGAATGAAACAGCTCACCCTGGCTATTATGTGGCAGCCAAGAGGTCTCAAGCTGTGGCCACGAGCACCTCGCGGTGGGTGTATCTTAGACCTCACTGCAGCAGTGGCCTTCTGGAAGGCTCTAAGTTTACTTTGAAAATAAGGGCAGGACCGGGTTATGGGTGGAGGTTGGTCTAGAGTCTCAGGAGTGACACTTTCATCCTGGGTCTGATCTGCCAGAAAATGGTGATGTCATTTACTGTGATGGAGCAGGTCAGCAATTTGGTGCCTGATGTGTTAGCCTTGAGGGAGAGAGCTCCAGTTGGGAAACCCTGGGGGCAGGGCCAGAGAAAGGGATATGAGGCCTGGCTTTTAAAGCCACAGAGTAGATACAATCACTGGGTGTCCACAACTCTTGGAGCTTAGCTAGAGGCAGGAGAGCCAGTAAAGGGCACCAGGAGCAGAGCCCTGCAGGGTGGGAAGGATTGCAGGAGACTATGTTGAGATCCAAGTGAAGAAGTGTGACTGTGAAGAAGCAAGGAGTGGGCCCTGGCTGTGTTTCACTGGTGTTTGGCAGAGCCCTGTGGAAACCTCCCTGTGAGAGGAAAGCGGTGGGACACTCTTGAAGGAGTCTCATAGAACAGAATGGGCATGCGAGAAGTCTTTCTGAGAGGGAAAGGACGGCCAGAAAAAGCTTCGGTTTTTGTTGGATTTGCCTAAGACATTTGAACATTAGAGCTGAGAAGAGAGATGGACTCATGAGATTGAATTTGCATTCATCCATCTACCCATCCATTCACCTGCCTGTCTGTCTACCTATCTGTCCTGGGGAAAGAACTAGTTCTTTGTGCACACTAGATAAGAGCTCTACCAGGGAGCTACACCCCTTGGCACTTTATAAATGTTTTTGAGACAGACTCAGGATAAGTTGCCCATGCTGACCTCATACTTGGCAGTCCCCTGGACTCAGCCTCCTAAGTAGCTGGGATTACAGGTGAGCATAACTGTGCTGGGCAGAGAGGTGAAGAATGAATAATCATTGATAACAAAGGAGAAAATGATGTGTTAGGGTACTGATGTGGGAAGAAACGGTCAAAACTTTCAGATGGAGCCATGACTGGACTTCACCTGCAAAAAGTATATTTAATTTCACCACTCGGATATTGGCTATGGCTCTTGACTATGTTAATCTTTAATTAAAATTTCTTTTTGAAAGATCTGCCAGGCATCATAGCACACGCTTGTAATCCCACCGGTTTGGGGAGGCTGAGCCAGGGGGATTGCAAGTTCAAGTCTTACCTGGGCAACTCAGCAATATTCTGTCTCAAAATAAAAAATGGAAAGAAGGTTGGAGGTGTTGCTCAGTGCAAAGATCCTGGGCTTAATCCTCAGTAGGACTCATCCAAATAAATAAATGTTGAAAAATTACGAATTGCTCCTAAGCTAACCTTATTAAATATATAAATGACTAAAGTTTTTTAATTATAGAGATAAAACTTGAGTTTCAACAAATATTGTGTTAAAATTTATTTGTTTTGTGTCCTGCAAAAAAGTGCTGGCTAACGCCCTGCCAGCCTTTCATGTTGAAAGTGAGATGCGTAGGGGAGGGAGGAACCCATTTACCCACCCCCAGGAAGTCATTGCAGTTGCTTGGCCCTTGTTGAGTTCTTATTGTATAGCCTTTTGCTGCCATCTAGCGTCATAGATTTTTCCCTTGCAGTTTTCTTGAGGGGGGTTGAGGAAGAAGAAACGTTAGTTTAAAAAACATTGCTACACTCAGGAGGCTGAGGTGGGAGGATTGTTGCAAGTTCGAGACCAGCCTGGGCTACAAAGTGAGCTCAAGGCCAGCCTGAACTGCATAGCGAGACTCTGTCTCAAAAAGAGAAAAAAATAAAATAAAATAAAATACACTGCTACTCTTGTTGGTTTTTCTTTTTTTTTTATTTTATTTTTTATCAGTACCAGGGATCGAACTCACAATTGTCTGCTTGCAAGGCAGGCACTTAGGCCGCTGAGCTAAATCCCCAGCCCTGGTTTTTCTTTTTAAACAATGGACCAAAGTAATTATATCTACTCACTAAATACCATTAAAACAGAAATACAACAGGCTAGATACCTAAATATAGGTATCTACTTCTGCTAGAATGAATCAATATGTTTAGTATTTGCATATAAAATATGCAATGTTTAGTACTTGCATGTAAGATAAAAGTCTTACTATAATTAAAAGATTTTAGGGCTGGTATCCTGGAATCCCAACATATATCAAGGTGTCTCACCCATAGAAGAGTGATGGGACTTCTCCAAGATTCTCTTTAAGACATTTTAATGACAGTGAGCAGCAATGAATTCACTTCCATACAGCTACCCCGACCTGCTCTTTCCCTCCCTTCAGGGCCATAGTCACTGTGTTTGCCAGCAGCTACTGTTTGTCTTGAGAATCAGCCAGATGTAGTGCAGCATACTCATATTTTCTTGTGAGCGTAATTTTTTCCATAAATGGGTATTGCTATAGGAAAAGAGTTGGGCAAAAGAATTTAAACTGCCACCTCACTGTTAATGTCACTAGACTTACACTATGTTCTTTAGTTTCTAAACCTGTTTAGGTACAAAAATCTTGTTAGCTTGCAGTTCTGGGGTGCTTTGTTGGAATTTTTCTGAGTTATTATCATCTGAATCTTTCATTATCTCTCCAACTCCTACCTCTGGATAGAGCCCACCCTACATGAAAGGGTGTTTATTTTTTAAAGGGATGTCCTGAGTAGTTATTGTAATTCCAGGGGAAGCAAAAGGAGAAAGCATCGTGTTTGGAAAGAAATATGAGGGGAGTTGGGCATGGTAGTGTACATCTATAATTCCAACACTCAGGGAAGCTGAGGCAGGAGGACTGCAAGTTCAAGCCTAGCCTGGGCAGCTTGGCTGCTTAGAAAAAAGACTAGGAATATAACTGTGTGAACACCCTGGCTGCAGTCTGCAGTACCTCCAAGAAGGAAGAGGGGATTATGCTGCTGGCTGGGTATCTGGGTGCACATGGTGCTTGGGGCAGATGCTACTTCCCTCTAGAGCAGTTACACCATCCTCAAGAGAATTCTACAGATCGATGTGTTGGACCTTAAGTTGTTTCAGTTCATTCTAGTAAAATAGATTGATTTAATCTGCATATTAACTTAGTTTGCTTACTTAAGTAGACTCTCCTTGCTTAACTGGTAAAGTGAAACATAAAAGGATAGCCAGGCCAGTATCAGCTGTGACCTGTAACAAATTCCTTAGCCTCCCTTAGCCTCAGTTCCTTATCTGTAAAATGTGTGAAGTTGTGTGAAGTCTGTGCCCTGGGTGTCAAGCGCGAAACCTCATTTCTGTGCAAGTATGCTCCAAAGTGAGCGAGGGCAGTGGTATCAGCATAGTCATTCATGCAGTGGTCACTTGAGCTGGGAATGAGAAAAAATGCAGGACCTCACCACTACCCTAGAATATTCTTCGTATTAAATGTAGACAAATGTTTGTAAAGAAATACTGTGATTTAAAGTCAGCCAGGGAGAGTCTAGAAAATTTGCTATCTTCATTAAGTTATAAGAACTTTGTGCTTCAGTCAGTCAAGGAAGACATTTGCTTGACTCTAATATAAAGAAAATTGAAGGCTGTTGGCTTGCTTACATTTTGTTAACTGATGATAAAAACCTTTCATTCAAGATTAGATTACTTTAATACATATTAAATCATGTCCCAAGGAGAACATCAAAGATACTCCTTAAAAGTACTATTAGCCAGGTGTTTTGTTGGCACCTTTGTAATCCCAGCACCGGGAGGCTGAGACAAGAGGATTACAAATTTAGGTCCCACCCAGGCAATTTGGTGTCTTGGCCAGACTGTGTCTCAAAAAATCCTGGGGATATAGCTCTGTGGGCAGGTGTGTCTGATGGTTCTGCCAGACTTACCTAGGGGTTTTCTCTGCCTGGGGGGCTTGTTAACATGGTGTTTTGGTATAGTTGGAGTACTCTTTCCTGTGTGGTCTCTGGGTAGCCCGGGGCTCTGAGGAAGGAAGCTAGGAGAGAAGTGAGCAGTCACCAGCCCAGAGCAGTCTCTGCCCTTCCCTTACCATCAACCTCTCCTTCGCTCTCTCTGTTGTTCACATATGTGGGGGCCATGGCCATAGAGCTTCAGGCACAAAGCACTCAGTGAGTGATATGTAGATCCTGCCAGTCTCAGTTAGGCAGTGCAAAAGACACCATTCTTCTTGCCACATTACCTTACTTACCTGAAGATTTCTCGACTTCCCCACTTAGTTCAGTCGTGTATCATTTCAAGTTATATTTTATTTGTTTTCCATATATTTATATAACAAACATAAATCAGTTTAAATGACCCTAAAAGCATAATGATGATCTATGCTTTTGAAATCTGGGTCAGAATTACCATTTGTAATGTGATGCTTGTTCAACCTGAGATAAACCTTTCTTCAAGTGCAGACCTTAGCATTTCCTACTAAATAGTCTTTAAGTGCATGTTAGCTAAGGCGTATATCTTAACTCAGTTTATTCTGAAGATCCACTTTGCTGCTCACATGGGCTGCTTCTTGCAGGGCGACCTGAAGGCTTACCTGCGCAACGAGCAAGAGCATGTGCGGGGCGACTCGCAGACCATGCTGCTGCAGAGGATGGCATGTGAGATCGCTGCGGGGCTGGCCGCTATGCACAAACTGCACTTCCTGCACAGGTGGGTCTGGTATGGGAGTACCTCACACATCACTGGGGTTGTGGCCCCAGAGGCTGTGTGGGGTGAAAAGGCACTAAGAAACCTCAGAAATGACAGGTTGTAGAGTGAACTCCAGGATTAAACTAGTAAAAGCCATCCTGTACTTTCAACATTGCAGCAGTGGCTGTGTTAAGCTTTGTTTAAGCCAAAACCAGGAAATAACGATTTAACACAGTCTAAGGCAGTGGCAGCAAACCATTTAGAGCGTTCAGTGATATAAATAGCCCCCTGTGGCACACATGGTATAAGTTTGTCACCACCGGTCGGTCTGATATTTCCAGAATTTCAAAGAGTGTGAAAAAGTATAGAGGTCTTACATCAGCAGTCCCAGATGACCTCATCACATTTCACTGGCTACCTTCTGAACATGCCAGCTTTAAGTGACTATCTGTGAGATCTCATGGTATGTCCCAGGTTGTACTGCTGTGACCATTCTTGGCCCAACAATCTGTAGACAAGGTCTGTAGTACTGATTTCTGGCCAACCAAAGGGTTGGCTTAAAGTGCCCACTCCAAAGTAGAAGGTGTCATGGCCCTCAGTCAACCGAGAGGCCTGTCCATACATGGCTGCAGGTAGGTAATCAAGGGCTGGGTGAGAAAGCACAGCAATCTTCCTGACACATTTCTGTCCAGTTTTCAGAGCCTGTCCGAGTGGTCATACGTGTTTTATCCAGGTGACTGATGTTGATTTTCTTTTTTTTTTTTTTTTTTTTTTTATTTAAGAGGAAAAAGAGAAAAACACAAAACAAACCAAAGCGGCGTAAGGGTACACGCAATACAGAACTACAAAACAAAACAAAACAAAACAAAAAACCATAACAGTAAGAAATTACCTGCTAGTAGATTACACACTATTTTCTTGAAAATAGTTCCTCAAATCACAGTATCAAAGAACACAAGGTGGACATTCAAACAGGGAGACTGCAAACAGCTGTGTTCAATGTTCCAAAAACATTGATAAAGTCACCTATTTAACACCCCCAAACACACTTGCTGTTATATCCGTTAGAGCTCCTTTTCTTTTTTTTTTTTCCCTCTCTTTTTTACAACAAAATTTACACATCTTGGATTTTATTACTCCTTAGTGCTTATTACTTTCTTTGGGGGGGGGGGAAGAATACAGTCAAATATGGCAAAACAAAGCTGTCAGTCAATACCAAGGACAGACGTAGCACATGGTGTAGAACAGAGTACAAGTTTATCAACAATGGTTATCAACGTTGTCCTTTGTTTCCTTAAAAAGAATTGTCTATCTTATTAGATATTATAAAGTTGGACAAAACAGTAGAGAACAAGACCAATAAAACTTAGGCATTGTAAACATTACAGGACTTCCAAAGAAGACAATAGTCAAACCAGAATGGGTATCTTAGTGAATCTTATTGTCTTCAAAGTAGTTGCCTATGTCTTCAAACTTGATACTATCATATAGAATGGAACAGAGTCTAATCAGTCAAAACAAGATCGTGGGAGTACTACAGGACTTCAAAACAAGTTAATAGGAAATCGAAAAGAGTTACTATTTATATATCCTAATTTTTTTGAATTTTTTCTTTAATTAAGACAAACATAAGAAATGACTAATTTTTTTTTGAAACAATAAGGGGGAGATTGAGATAAAACAGGACATAACAATATAACAATAGAGGTCACAGCATGACTGTTTCAATAACCTAGTACTTCACCACCTTATAACCTGACTTAATAGTAGTTACCATAGTGTCTTTTTCCTTGAAATATTTGGGTAAAACTTCATATACTCTAGCTTCAAATATTTTCATATCAAGAAGCCCAGAATAAAGCCTTTCTAATTAATGAGTGAAAACTTTATAAGGCTTCAAGGCCACCTAATGGGGAATCATGATTACCACATATTTTTAGATATTTGAATCATTACTTACATTAGGGAAACTATTCGGTATTCACACATGCGAGATTGATTTATTTCACTTATGAGTATGGTCTCAAGCTGTGCCCATTTATTGATAAATATCTCAATGTGATCCTTCTTTATAGCTGAATAATACTCCATTGTATAGAAATACCACAACTTTTTTATCCATTCCTCAGTTGATGGGCACTTGGGTTGTTTCCAAGATCTGGCGATTACAAATTGTGCTGCTATAAACATAGGTGCACATATATCACTGTGGTATGATGCTTTCAGTTCTTCTGGGAATATGCCTAGAAGTGGAATAGCTGGAATAAATGGGATTTCCAGTCCCAACTTTTTGAGAAATCTCCAGACAGATCTCCACAAAGGCTGTACCAGTCTACACTCCCACCAGCAGTGCAGGAGAGTTCCTTTTTCCCCACAGCCTCTCCAGCATTTGTTGTCGGTTTTCTTGATCCTGGCCATTCTTTCAGGAGTGAGATGGTATCTCAGTGTGGTTTTAATTTGCATTTCTCTAATGACCAATGATGATGAGCATTTTTTCATGTATTTATTTGCCATTTGCATTTCTTCATCTGAGAATTGCATATTCATCTCAGATGCCCATTTTTGGATTGGATCTTTGAATTTCGGAGGTCTGAGTTTCTTTAATTCTTTGTATGTTTTAGACAAGAGGCCCTTGTCTGAGAGAGAGTTCACTAAAATCTTTTCCCAGTTTGTGGGTTTTCTTTTCACTATGCTGGAGATTTCTTTTGACATGCAGAAACTTTTTAATAAGAAGTGGTCCCAGTTATTGATTCTGGGAAGTATTTCCCGTGCGGTTTGAGTCCTGTTCATGAATTCTTTACCTACTCCTATGTCTCCAAGGTTTCTACCTATTTTGTCTTCCAATAGATTTAGTGTTTCTGTTTTAATATTCAGATCTTTGACCCATTTACATTTTAATTTAGTACATGGTGATAGACATGGGTCTAGCTTTAGTTTTCGGCAAATGGAGAGCCAGTTTTTCCAGCACCATTTATTAAAGAGACTGTCGTTCTTCCAGTGAACCTGCTTGGCTCCTTTATCAAAAATAAGGTGGTTGAGTGTGTTCGTAGTTGTGGTTGTATCTTCTAATCTATTCCACTGATCTTCAGCTCTGTTTTGATTCCAATACCATGTTGATTTTACTACTGTTGCTTTGTAGTATAACTTCAAGTCAGGGATTGTGATGCCTCCTGCTTTGTCTTTGCTGCTTAGAATTGCCTTTGCGATTCTAGGTCTCTTCTGGTTCCAGATGAAATTTAGGAGTGATTTCTCTAGATCTATAAGGTATGTTGATGGTATTTCTATTGGGATTGCATTGAATCTGTATAACAGTTTTGGGAGAATGGCCATTTTCACAATGTTTGTTCTTCCTATCCATGAGCAAGGGATGTCTTTCCATTTTCTGAGATCATCTTCAATTTCCTTTTTCAGTGTATTATAATTTTCACTGTATAAGTCTTTCACTTCTTTCGTAAGAGTAATTCCTAAATATTTCATTTTTTTGCTTGCTAATGTGAATAGTCCAGTTTCTCTTATTTCCCTCTCTGTAATTTTGTTGTTCGTGTATAGGAATGCTATTGATTTCTGAGTATTGATTTTGTATCCAGCCACATTACTGAATTTATTTATTGTATCTAAGAGTATTTCAATGGAGTTTAGGGGGTCTTCTATGTAGAGTATCATGTCATCTGCAAACAATGATAATTTAACTTCTTCTTTTCCTATCTTTACCCCTTTTATTTCTCTTTCTTGCCTAATTGCTCTGGCTAGTACTTCCAGTACTATATTAAATAGGAGTGGTGATAAAGGACATCCTTGTCTTGTACCCGATTTTAAAGTAAAGGCTTTCAATTTTTGGCCATTTAGTATGATGCTGGCTGTTGGTTTGTCATAAATGGCCTTTATTATATTGAGGTAAAGACCATTTATTCCAATTTTCTGTAAAGTTCTTATCATGAATAAGTGTTGGGCCTTATCGAAGGCTTTTTCTGCATCTATAGAGATGATCATGTGATTCTTATTTTTGGCTTTATTGATATGGTGGATTACATTTATTGATTTGCGTATGTTGAACCATCCTTGCATTCCTGGGATGAATCCCACCTGGTCATGGTGTATAATCTTCTTGATGATTTGCTGGATCCTATTTGCCAATATTTTATTGAGGATTTTTGCATCTGTGTTCATTAGGGAGATCGGTCTATAGTTCTCTTTTATAGTTGGGTCTTTCTCAGGTTTTGGTACTAGAGTAATATTTGCTTCCAGGAATGACTTAGGAAGGATTGCTTCCCTTTCAATTTCATTGAATAGTTTGAGGAGTGTCGGCATTAGGTCTTCTTTATATTTCTTGTAGAATTCTGCAGTGAATCCATCTGGGCCTGGGCTCTTCTTGGTGGGCAAGGACCCAATTACATTCTCAATTTCATTAGCAGAGATTGGGTTATTCAACAGTTTTATATCCTCTTGATCTAGCTTTGGTACTTCATATGCTTCTAAGAATCTGTCTATTTCTTCTGTGTTATCAAACTTTTGAGAGTAGAGGTTTTCGAAATAGGTGTTGATGATCCTCTGTATTTCTATTGGGTCTGTAGTGATTTCTCCTTTTTCATTTCTTATTGCATGAATTTGAGCTTTTTCTTTCCTTTTTTTAATAAGGTTGGCTAGGGGCTTATCGATTTTATTTATTCTTTCAAAGAACCAACTCTTTGATTCGTTGATTCTTTGGATTGTTTTCTTAGTCTCTATTGCATTGATTTCTGCTCTGATTCTTATAATTTCCTCTCTTCTTTTGGCTTTGGGCTTGACTTGCTCTTCTTTTTCTAGCTGTTTGAGGTGTAGCATCAAGTTATTTACTTGTATTCGTTCTGTTTTCCTGATGTGGGAACTCAGTGCAATAAATTTTCCTCTCAGAACGGCTTTCATTGCATCCCACAGATTCCGGTAAGTTGTATCTGCATTTTCATTTTCTTTTAGGTATTGTTTAATTTCTTCTTTAATTTCTTCTGTGACCCACTGATTACTCAAGAGTGTGTTATTTAGTT